CTCTCTTTCTTTCTCTTTCTCTCTTTCTTTGAATGATGTGTGTTTGTGCATGTGTGTGTGTGTGTGTGTGTGTGCGTTTAGGCTGGGCAGTCAGACAGCTGGAAGCTGGGGTTGCCAGGTAAAAATAGCGGGCACCTGGTTAAATTCTAATTTCAGATAAACAATGAATACTTGTTAGTATAAGTATGTCCCAGATATTGTGTGATACATCCTTATACTAAAAAAAAATGCAAAACATTATTCGTTGTTTATCTGAAATCTCAATTTTAACTAATCATCCACTAATTCAATTTGAGAGATCTGGCAACCCTCACTGGAACAAGGTTTGTTGTTTTGTTTGTAGAGTTTGATAGACAGAAGCAGATGGGGGAAGCATGGCGGCCTTGGGGGGAGGCGCTGCGCGGGGAAGGGCCCAGGCTGCTGGGCCAGCTCACCCAGCCCAGACTCCTTGAGTCTCTTGCTTGGCCTGGTGACTTCTCCTTTCTCATTTCTGGGGGTCCTTCAGTTGCACGGGACAGAACTGTGAGCCCCAGCCAGTCCTGGAGGGGAGCTAAAGGCAGCAGCCCCAGCCCCGCCCAGTGGGGTGGCGCCCCCTCGGGCTGACCCCGCGCTGACACCAAGCTGCACAGCCCAGCTTGGGCCGCTCGCCAGGCCCCCACCTACTTGCTGATCTGGGTGCTGGGCTGTGTTCTACTGGAACCTTATCCGTTTGTTTCACGGATGACATTTGACCTTCCTGAAGCAGGACCCAGCAGAGCTCAGAGCGGCTGCCAGACGGCTGTGAGCCCCGACACTGCCGAGTCCTCCTTGACGTCCTGCTGCCTCCTCAGCCCCGAGACCACCCACCGCCGCCGCAGCTCTGTTCCAGCCCCCCACCCTCCTGTTCGCTAAACCGCCCCCAGCAAATTACGGCCCGGTCCTCCCGCCTGCTCAGTGGGCACTGCCGCCCTGGCAGATTCTGGTGCCAGCAGCAGGGAGCCTGTACACCTGCAAAGGGGAACTAAAAGGAAATAAAGTCACTTCCCTCCCCCAAGACCCCCTCCAGCCCTGCCTTCAGACCCATCCCTTGCAGAGTGAATTGTTTCCAATCCAATCCCGTTTTTATTGAAGTTCCCTCCAGGGTTAGCTCAGGAGATTCTCCCCCTGCCTCTTCGCATGGCCTTATTTACCAGAATCCCCCCGGCGTGGCATTTCAGCGTCTCCATTAACATTTCGTGCATCCTGCTCATTGCAAGCATGGGCCCTCTGAGACCTCAGGGGTGGTGGGCACGGCAGCGGCCCGCAGAAATGCCAGGCTTATTTTAATTGGTTTGAAACTGTGGCTGGCGACCACGGAGGGGTCCTTTTCCTTGAGTAATGACCTGGAATTTGATCATGCGGCTTTGATTAGCTTGTAATACTGAAGAGTGGAGCCGTGTAAGATCAGCCAGAGCCGGGGCACATCTGCCCGCGTGGCACGGCCGAGGAGACGCACCGGCCCTGGAGGACACGGGCAAGCGTGCGTGTGCAGCCCGGTGGACGACAGATGGCAGCTCTTGGGGGACATCATCTTGAATGGGTTTCTGGCTGTGGGGCACCCTGTCTCCACCTTTCTCTGACAGACCTGCCAGAAAGCTCCTAGGAGTCGGCCTCAGAGCAGAGCAGCCGCCCTGAAGTCCCCTCTGGAGTAATTCTGGTTCCTCGTCGGCTTGAAGGTGTTTGTTTGCGGGGAGCAGGGGAAGCCTCCGGGCTGCCGGGGCCTCATGGCGCCCTTCTCGGCATGGGAGGCTCTGCTCCCCAGGGCCCTGCGCCCGCCCCTTGCGGTCTTCAGGCAGAGGAGCGTGAGAGCCCCTGAGTTCTTGGAAACACAGATGCTCTGGACTCCAGAATGTTCGAGGACGTGCTTCCATCCCCACGGCCGGGACCTCATTTGGAATGCAGCTGTTTCTGCTTCTTGTTTGCTCAGACTGGTTGTGTCTAAGGAAAACTCAGCGGGCAGGTGAAGCAACAATTCTAGACTAGTTTGTTGTCCTTTAAACAGAGGGAGCGTGGAAAGGGCAGACCTGACTCTTCCTTCCAGAGTTAACACCATATACACCGTCATTCATCTATAAAGCCATCCCGGCCACCGGCCGACGGGGTTCTATTGAGTCACTGAGGCTCGAAAACACCTCACCTGCTGCTGAGTGATCACACACGTGTCATCGGGGTCTCTCACTCCCTCAAGGGGCTTACAATCTAACCATGCTTGTCTCAGAAAACTTTTTGGAGAACTTCTATAATTAAGGCAAATGATAGTAAATATCTATGTTTCTCCATCTGCAATTAACAATGGTTAACATTTAGTCACATCGCACTGTCTTTAGGGAAAAAACAGAAATGATGGAGGTCGAAGCTCCTGCCATCAGGGGCCGCAAGGTCTGCTGGGAGTTGAGCCTGCCCCTATCCTGGCGCTGATCCCTGTGTCATTCGCTTAATGGCTGTGCCCTGCCCCTTCCCTCCTGTCTCAGCCTCACCGAGGGGGAAATGGAGTCACCCAGTGGTGGCCGTGGCAGCAGTGAGGCCAGCGTGGCAGTCACAAGCCAGGTTCTCCAGCCGGGTTCCCTAGGCCCGAGCTGAGATGTGCCAGTGTGCAGGTTGTATGCCTTTCGGGAGCTGGGGGGCTCTTCAAGGTTCCGTGCCTCAGTTTCCCTCTAGGGTCTCTGGAAGGGTTAATGTGTTACAGCAGAAGACATTCCCCAGAGTCTTTATGATTAGAGGCACCGCCCTGCCTGAGCCCCTGTCCCCTCTGCCCTCTCCCCCGGCCCGGGGGTGGGGGAGCTGGAGCCGCAGCAGAGCACCCCCCACCGGACCGCATCCTCATCTGTGTTCGGGCAACACAATTTAGTAAACCAATGAAATCTTAAGTACGTGAGCCCCAGAGGCCCCGGGGTGTTCATACGCCTGGAGGAGCTGGAGGGTTTGCAGGTCTGAGCCTTGTGGGCTGTGGGGACGGGGACCCAGGAAGGGTCCCATCACCCTCCATGTCCCCGCCCCTCCCTGAGTCGGGATGCAGCTTGCGCCCCCTTGTTCTCTGTGTCACAGTCGAGAATCTCCAGTTCCCTTCGTTTTGAAAATCTGCTCTTCTTCTCATCGCCTTCTTCCCTTCCTTTCCTGCCCCCCTTCTTTGTCTCTTGGAACTAACTCCTGGGGGCTGCAGCAGCCTCGGGGGCGCGGCCCCACCTCGCTGCACACACACAACTCTGCGAATTGATTCCACAAACGATTAGCTACAGTACAGCGGCGCTGCTAACTGCGGCGTTTGGCTTTGCAGTTATTGGTACATCATCAGAATTGAGGAGCCATCGTCAGGCACGGGAGGAGAGGGGCAGTGGGCAGGCGCACAGGGGAGGGGTGGAGAGGACTGTCCTGCAAATGCGGGAGCCTGGTTAGATGGTGAGGCCCCAGCCGAAGGGAGCTGGGCGTCACTTCAGAGACTCCAGAGGGCCAGGTGTTTCCTGGCTCGTTCCCAGGCAGATGGCCAGCCCCTCGCTGCCTCTTTCTCCCACCTGCTTCGACGCCATTGCAGGGGCACAGCTCCTTCCCTGGGAGGAGGAGCTGCGTGTTAGGCAGAGCCTGGGGCTGGGGTGGTGGCAATTCTGGGCTTGTTCACGGACAGGGTCAGTCTCTTAGCGTGCAAGCTGGAGAGACCCTGGAGGCCTTGAATCAGACGGGGCTCTCCAGACAAACAGAATCAGTATGATCTGTCCACTTACACATCCATCTCTGTGTCTGTCTCCCTATGTATGTGTACGTGTACGTACGTAGCTACAGCTACGTGGAGATAAATTGTGTGGCTATAGACAGACAGACAGATACAAAAGAGATTTGTTCAAGGAGTTGACTCCCACAGCTGGTTCTGGTCATGGTGAGAGAGGTTAAGTGTTTAGATAAACTGCAGGGTCAGCCCTGCACCCCTGGAATCTAGTCCGGTGACCCCGACTGGTGAGGGGGTGAAGCTGTAGCCCCAGCCTGGCTCTGTGATTGAGTGAAGAGTTTGGGCCCATATTAGGAACAAGTGACACAGGCCATCCCGCTACCCATCTGGCCATTGCCAGCTGGACCCCCTGGCGTGCTGGCCCCATCCCCTCGGGCCCCAGGGACCGGTCTGGTGTCCTGGGGCTCACCGCAGGGGAGGGGCAGAGCAGGGAGCGTCCGCTGCCGTGAGGCGGTGAGCAGGGACGCCTCGTTATAACCCCCCTAATGTTTCTCGTTGCAGCGTTCAAAGGATGCCGTTCCCATGACACTCTGTCCTGTGATATTTTTAATCAAGAGCGCGGGAGAGCGTGTGTCTGAGGCACTCCAGATATTCAGAGATTGAAAGTGGTTTTGTTCTCGTGTTTTCTCTTTTTTTACATGCAGCGCAAAGTCAGAACTGCCCAGGGAGGATTCTGTCCACGTCTCCCTCGAGCTGGTCTGCAGGCCCCTGCGGCTGGGACCCTGTCCCAGGAGCTGCCCTTCTGCAAACAGGTGCGTACCCCTTCCTGTCCGACTCTGCTCCGCTCTACCTGGTTCTCAGATCGGGGGCCTCTCAGAGGCCTGGGGGGCTGTGGGTGAGGGGCACATCCACGGGCGGCAGTGCGACCTGGAGGGATGTCAGCAGGGAAGTGGTGGCCAGTAGAGAGGAGGGTCCGCCCCCACCCCCGCCGCCTGGTTCCCGGACCCCTCTGTGTTTTTCACCTGCCCTCACCCTGTGCCTCCACTAAAATGCAGATCAGCAAGTATATAATAGATAATTAATAGACTGATCAGCCAGCAAGGGAGGTAAGTAGATAAATAATTTTAATTATCCTGAGGTTGCCCATAAATCCCCTCACTGCCTTTTTATTAAACTCTGTTTACTGGAGTCATTTATACTGCATGTCGTTCTGTAGACCCTCCCCCACTTCCTGACCTCGGGCGGGTGGGCAGATGGCAGCAGGTCCCTTCCCTGCAGGCCTGGCTCTGGTGCGGGTGGAAGGCTCGGCCCGGGCAGCGGGCTGGGCGGCACCGGGCGGGCCGCGCTCAGCACCCCACGCGGCTGCAGCCTGAATTTAGGCAACTCGGAGCCCTTCATCATGCTTGGCGCCTGTGCTGCAGGTCTGCGCTCACTGTCCTCCCCGGGGGCGGCTTCGGCCTATTAATAGCCTTGGCTGAGCTGTCCTCACTGCTCTGAAGGCCAAGAGGGAAAGTGGGTTAATAAATATAAAAGAAAACTCTCTCAGAGGGCCTAGGGCCAAAGTCTCTCCCAGACTCTCCGAGAGTGACGGCTGGGGAGCCCGGTCGGGGCGTGCGGCTCCCTTCACCCCAGCCTCTCCTCTTTCCCCAGCCAGAGGCCCAGGGCCCTGCTGGCCGGTCTGAGGACCAGCGTGGAGAAATGCTCCCAGGTTTCCAGGGAGCTTGGATGGAGGAGGCGCTGGTGGGAAAGGCCGCTGTCCAGGTCGGGCAGAGGAGGCGGCTCAGATGTGGCCTTTGTGCATCTGGGTGGAGGGCGAGAGGGAGGGCATCCTTGGCTTTCCCACCTCCCCTCCTGCCTGCATCCTTTCCCCATCATTTTGCTCCTGACCGTCCGTGTCTACTCCTATGTGCTTGGAAGAGAAAGAGGAAGATGGCCTTGGGCTGGCCACTGGGCAAGACCCCTCCCTCCTGCCCTTGTCCCCCACTCCTGGGGTCCATGGCAGAATAGTTCAGCCTGAGTTAGAAACACCTGGACAGAGAGAGTGGACGCCCGGGGAACAGAGCAGGGAGGGCACAGGGAAGACGGGCGTGCCCAGGGTCTGCTCACAGTTGAATTTCAAGAGCGTCAGGTATGTGCTGGCAGCCGGCGTTCTGCACAGAGGTGCTCACGCTACTGGGGGCCTGGGGCTGGGGACGGTTCAGCCCTGTCTTGTTTATTCTCTTCTGGTGCCATGGGGGACACTCCTAGAATCTGTCCTCCTTCGGTGGGGGGCAGGGCGCAGGGAGGTCACTGCCACCAGTGCCTGTGTGGCAGAGTCGGGGCCCACAGCTGGGTATGTGGCCCCGGAGGGCTGCCTGCAGGCCCAGCGTCAGAAAGTTCTCCACGGAGCTTTGTTCCTGTCGTTCAAATCCTTCTGGGTTTCAGTGGTTGGAAATGACACCGGACTGTGGGTGTTACTGCTTCTGCGCAATGGGACTGCCCGCCGGACCCTGGCGTCCACGGCGGGCCTCCTGATGAGCGTCCGGCCGTCTGTCCTTCTTGGAGGCGGTGTTCGCCGGGGCAGAGAGGGAATTTGGGCTGAGCACGTGGAAAGCCTTCTGAAGTTTCGCTCAGTGGAATTAAAGTCTGAAAAATGGCCCAGCGGAGGCCTCCTGCCCTTTCAGGAGTGTGTCCAGCTCCGAGCTGGGCCGCCCGCCCTGCTGCCAGCCCGACCCACGCAGGCTGAGTGGGAGGAAGACGGGCCGGGAAGAGGCAGAAAGAGCTGACAGGCACCTTTTCCAGACGCTCCCTCCCTGGGCAGACCAGGGGCCTGCTGGAGGGCGGCCTCCCAGCCCGTTTCAGTTACGCTCTGTGCAGGTGGGCAGGCAGATGAGGGCAGGAGCCTTCCTTAGGAGACAGAGGCACCCGGAAAGCGTGTCTTTCTGTAACCAGAGGCATCCCTGTCGGAACAGCTCTGCGTCTTTTTTGGCTTTTCTGGTCGTTTTGCTGACATTTTTAGGGTTTCCTTGTTGTTTCTGTTTAGGGGCAGGGTTGGGTGTGTGCAGAAAAGAAAAAGAATAATAAATCAGAGACAGGATCAAACTGATGGTCCGCGGTCATTTTACCCCGCGGCAGACATTGCCGCAGAGTTGGGTCGGGCCTCCTCGCCGCCGTCCTGCGCTCTGGGACCCGCAGTGCTCAGTCAGAGGGCAGCTGGGGCTGGGCCACTAGTGTAAAGGGGCCTGGTGGGAGAGGACACTTCACCTCTCCTGAGGGGCCGGTTCAGAGCCTCCAGCTGATAAGTCTTGTGATTCTGTGTTTGCCGTGGCTGAACCTCACCCAGCCCCGTCGGACCCATCACCACCCCAGCTGCAGATGAGGACCCCGGGGCCTGGTAAGTGAGGGGCTGGAACTGAGACTCACATCTGCTGGGTCTTCTGATCCCTTGCTCCGTGTGTGCCATGCCGAAGTGGTTTGTCCGTGAACTTGGGGGGAGCACGTGTCTGTCTGGCCGGCTGTGGGAGTGACGGCCCCAGACTGGCCTGGGCGGGCAGGGGTTTGTGCAGGACGGAGAGTGGGGACCCCGGGGTAGGAGCCCCGGGGCTCGGGAGCTGTCTCCGGCGTCTGCTGTGTCCTTGGCTTAGAGTCAACACTGAAGGCCTTTCGTGGGGTTGAGCCGTGGCTTGGTGTGTGCGTGCGTGTGTGTGTGCAAGAGAGAGACACACACTCCAAGCTCTCAAGGATTTTCCTTCTCAGAAATCTCTTCCCAGTCCTGAAATATGAGGGGAGCAGGTAGAGGATATTGCTGTGGTCCAGCTGCTGTCAAAGCAGAGTGTGGCGCCGCGTCACCCCTTGGCACCCATAGACTGTCACCGAACGTCTGAGCCGGGAGGGACCCGGGGATCTTCTTGTCCAGCTCCCTCCTTCTTTGACCAAGAAGGAACCTGGGCTCTGAAAGGCCCAGGACTTGTCCCCAGACCCTCAGCCAGGTGTGGCGGCGGCGCCCCTGAGTCACGCAGGACCTCTGAGGGGTGGCTTCGCCGTACTTCCAGTGCCCAGCATCCTGTCCGCTGGCCCAGCGGGCGGGGCGGGGCGGAGGAGGCATGAGTTGATGTCACCGGGCGCATATGCTCTGGGGATGAGCGTGCCTGGTCTGCCTCGTCTCCAGGAACTGAGCCATCCTGGGGAGGGGAGGGTGCCTGTGCAGCGCCTTCTGCCCTGCCTGGACCCTGGGCTCCCCCACACCCGGGCCCTGCTGAGCCAGCACCGGCTGAGAGCAGGCCCGTGCTGGGCGGGCACCTGGCCCCTAAGACAGGCCGTCCAGCGACTGAGGAATGAGTGTGTGACCCTCCGGGGAAGCAGTGTGAGGCAGGGGCCAAGTAAGAGTGAAGGAGTTGGTTCTCCCACAGACCCGTGGGCGTGAGCACATCCCACCCCAAGAGCCCCTCACGGATTCACCGTCGGAGCCAAGAGTGCCAGCCCTTTTGTGGTCTCCCCCGTCTTTGCTTCTGAAAACCCTCTGCCCTTCCTCCCCTGGGGCTGGGAGGGTCTAACGACCTTCAGTGCGATCTTTTATTTTTCTTTGCAGATGATAACAGGCTATTTCTACCTTCCCATTGTTACATAAGCAATAGATGTTTGTTGTAGAAAACACAGACGAGAAAAATGAAGAACCACACACACCCACAATCCGACTGTTAGAAATAACCGCCCTTCACGTCTCAGTGTTTTGTCGCCTTCCAGGCAGTTTTCTGCTCATAAGAGTTTGCAGATTTATTTCACGTGACACTCATTGTTCTGTAACCTGCTGGCCACCTCGGTTGTTTTGTTTTGTTTTAATAGAAGTACAGTCAATTACAGTGTGTCAGTTTCCGGTGTACAGCGCAGGGTCCCAGTCATGCATGTACACACATATACCCATTTTCACATTTGTTTCCATGAAAGGTTATTATAAGATATTGAGCGTAGTTCCCTGTGCAATGCAAAAGCAACTTTTTTTAATCTTATTTTTATATATAGTGGCTAACATCTGCAAATATCAAACTCCCAAATTTATCCCCTCCCACCCTCTTTCCCTGGTAACCATAAGATTGTTTACTAGAAAGGGAAAGAAAACACCTTGTTTTTAATGACTGAATATTATTTCACTGCAGAGAAGCACCGTGATTTCCTTAACCAATCCCCTCAGGGATGTTCCCCAAGGACTAACACAGGCGTTGGCCACTGACCCTGTTTCCAAAACCCCGTGCCGCACTTGGAGAAAGCAGAAGGTTGATTCTCCAAACAGGAATTAGGAGGTGGGCACTTACATTTAAGGAGGCTGCAAATGTACCGCCCACATCTTTGAGAAATGGGCTCCTCCAGGATATTCATGCAGCCACAGCGGGTGAAATCCCAGCTCGCATCCGGCTTCACGTCCCTGTGCCTCCCTCCATGGATGCCCTTCCCAGGTCCACAGAATGTGCGTGCAGGCGCGTGCAGACACGCACGCGTGCGCACACACTCACGTGCACACGGACACGCTCGCATACACACAGTGTCTGGAAGCCCTGCCCTATCGCCCTATTGCCAGCTGAAAGGTGGTGTTAATTTAATTCGTTATTAATCACCGCTATTTATCAGGTGGCCGGCTCCCAGCAACCATTCCTGGGGATCAACTATCATTTCTGTCTCAGAGATAAAGGGAAGTGGGTGCTGATGAGCTGAGGCAGGTCGGTGCTCCCGGCCCACGTGACTTACTGTTTAATGAGACAGACAAGCCTCTGAAGAGAAAACGCTTAGGGACTTCGAATACCGTCAGGTTTGAAGACCCCAAGTCCCCAGCCTGCGGGCT